CATGGAATGTTATAGCATTGTAATATTAAGCCCGAAGCCCTAATCTTCGCCAGTATGTCCAGCCTTCGGGCCGAACCAACCTGGCCAGCAAGTCAAAGTGGGCGAGAGTCCAATCTTAGCAGCATGTCATATTATAGTGTATTAATTGTTATAGCTAGACTATGTGTTCTTATAGTTTATCCTAGACTCCAATCTTAGCAGCCTAGGTGAAGCTGCTCAGCGACCACGAGAGCAACTGCCTCTCCGCTTCAGGGAGCAGGTCGAGGCACAGCTCTGGGGGTCAAAAAATGCTTTTCAGTCACTATGTTCGAAGCTAAGACGCATTGTAGTAAAATATAGTAGTAGATTCTCACTTGCTGTAATATACGTCCTACAGGGGCTTTCCAATCTCATTTTCAATGCCGGCGGCTTTACCTCATCGCCATGAGCCCAAGTCTACTGAGACTCATCATGAGTGGACATGTCCCTGAACATCAGAAACCAGTTCGATTCCGGTAGCTGGTTTGGATTGTCTGCACTTACACTCGTACAAGTTTGTCGAAGACAATGCAGAGATTAGCACCGCTGCGGTTGGCAAAGACGCGCTCGAAGCGGGCACATTGCCAAGGGTGCCGTGCTTGAGTCGAGCACTCTTCTCTGCACTGTGTATTCTCTCGTAAGAGAATCCTTGCAGCCATTCATTGGCTTTTATCTGTCATCGTGCCAGCTTGTAGACTAAATAGCAGATGACCTTCTACATTGGCAAGTGACTGAAGCAGCGTCCGGATGCTGCTCGAATCGAGTGCATGCCCAGCATGCCAGGCAGTCGCACACAACAGTGCGCGCACTGCACATCCCATGACATAAGCGGACAGTGACTAGTACAAGTGCACTTCGCGCTGGTTTGCATCCACTACACCTCCATGACCCGCCTTGGCATAGACCGTGTCACTAGAGCGATGCAGCTGCGCGCAACCCCGAAACGTACTCCAAGTGGGCACTTGCACCCGTTAACCGAGGTGGGTGAACCTTCCGGGTGAATGTTGCAAGGCGAAGGTGTCCTCACAGTTATTTTCGTTAACGTGCAGGGATGATGGCTACAGGCGTTTCTTTTCGGCTTTTGTTTGGCTGCACTCATAGTGATGCATGTGGAAACAGACTGACACGTTGGCTTCGTATGAATCCATGGTTTTTCCGAATGCCACTCTTTCCAGGACCGAAGCACCCATGACCTCTGGCCCACGGCCGTGTCGTCTCCCCGAACCCGGAACCTTACAACACCACAGGCCCATGTCCACAGTCCCCTCAACCAGGTTGACTCCTCGGGGTGACGGTGTCCATGCGGAGTACCGGTGGCGTGGTGCCAACCTTCTGCCTGCCGGGCTCTACACAGTCAGCAGGCAGCAGTCGATTTTCATGATCTCTCCCTGCCTCTCTCTTTGTCTTGCTGCGTTTCGAGGCATGATGATGCCTGCAGTCAGTGCAGCAAAAGCGACGTAAGTAGCAGTGGTCGCGGCTGTCGTCGTCTTCAGTTCTTGTGGCGGTAGTAGAAGCAGCAGGAGCAGCAGCTAGCAGTAGCGGCAGCAGTGGCAGTGGCAGTGGGAGTGCAGTCGTAGTCGGATTAAGAGCAGCACTAGGAGTAGGAGTTGCAGTAGCAGCAGTAGCAGTAGCAGCAGCAGTAGCAGTCACAACAGCAGCAGCAGGAGGAGGAGGAGGAGGAAGTACCGGGAGCCTTCTGAGGAACGGGATGCCTGTCGATGTGCCCGGGCCTGCTTCCTTCAAATCCGTCCAGGCCGGCACAGAAATAAGGGGAGCCCTGAGGCGAGGGTCCTTTTCATAAGGACCCGATTATCTTTTAGGATTTTTAGGGTCCTCATGTTTTGAAACTCCAAGATCATGGCATTGTGTGCCATGGCTATTGCAGCTCCGGTTGAGTGGGCTGATGGGGCTCGTGGTGCCTTCATACAGGGGTCCCTAAACCCGAGGCCCGAGGCCCTTTCAAAACCTTGCCAATAAGGAAACAAGAGCCCTTGAGTGAGCCCAGAGTTCCAGGTGAGCCTGGCTGCCGGTGCTGGGACTTCGATGCCGAGTCTGGCCACTGTCAGATGTACCGGACTCCTGGATGTCTAGGGCACAGGGGATTTCAAAGGTCCATTGTTTTGGGCGCACAAGCGCCGCCCACGCCATTGACAAGCTTCTCCGGTGAAATTTCTTCCCGAACTCTGAAACAGCAAAGGAGCTGTGAGGCCGTGAACGCCACAGCATTGGCACCACGGGATCGTTCCTGGGCAGGCGAGCTGAGCGGGAATTTCGTTTTCAGCTGAGCCACTTGCTCGGAGGACTCAGGAGTCAGGAGTCTCGTTTCCCTTGCCAGGTCAAGCAAGACACCTCACCATTCCTTCATATCCTCCTCTACCATCCAAGATGCGCAGAATCGCAGTGTGTTTCGGCTAGGATGCACTCAGATAGTGCAGCCCTTCGTTCATCGCCTCAAAGGTAGGCTTGCCATGTCCTTCTGAAAAAGGCGTGCCTTGCAGTTTGCCTTGCAGTGTGAAGCGCTAGCAAAGGCTTGAGGTCAAGGATTCTGGGTTGTTTTCGCGGGGCTTATGGAATGTTGCGGGCTGCGCGGCCTGCACGGCGGACATGTTGTCTTGCGTGGGAAAGCCTTTGAATTTGAGCGATGCTCTGCAGCCTCATGTAGGCTCACAGGTTCAAGTTCCAGCACCTGCGAAGACTTTAACTCAAAGCCTTTGCTCACGAGCGCGATGCTGCGGGTTTTTGAGTGTCGCAGTTGTTCGAATCCAGTATTCTCTGTTTCCGAAGTCACGCCTTCTGCCCCAAGCCGCCATCCACCCCAGACAAAGCCAAACCCCTACACCAACAAAAGCCTCAACCCTGAAACCTTCACCTTGGGGTACACTAAACCCCTCAAAGCCACAAGGCCCAGAACCCCAAGCGCCCTAGCGCCGCACCCGAAACCCAAACTAATATTCACCCGGACAATCCCCCAAAAAGCCCCGATTCAGAGAGCCTTTGTCCCGGACTCCTCAGTGCCATGCCTCCATGGAGACTCCGGAGGTGGAGCTCCAGTCGCTGGGTGAAGGCTATGCGCCCCTGGTGCCCTGCCGGATGCAGGGTTTTGCTTTGCATAGTCTTTACGCCCATATATATACATACATACATACA